AACACTAGCATTTTCTTTCATATATATATATATATATATATATATATATACACATACACACACACACACAATAGGAATTTAATATATAAAAATTCTGTGCGTCTCCTGGGGGCTAAGCCCCCCTTGTCCTTAAAACCTAGTGACACCCCTGGTCTCAGGACACTGTACATGAAAAAAGAACAATCTAAAGAAGAAGCCAGCAGATTGTGTTGAATCACTTCATCACAGTCTCCTATCCGGAGTAAACGGTGGAGAGGAAAAACTCCCCATTAACAAAAAGAAACCTCCAGCAGAACCAGACTCAGGACAGGTGGCCATCTGCCTCGACCGGTTGGGTTGAAGGACGAGGACAGGAAAGACACAGTCAAACACAAAGGTGCACCTACTTCTGGAACTACCGAGTAGTATTAATGCAACACTACAGAGGGTTTGATTTTAACTCTGTGTTAAATTTACACTCTCAAACTTAGAGTATTGACACCTTAGAAATGTTCTTTTAATACCAGCAAGTGTGGACACATATAGACACTTTGTTGGTGTTGAAAGTAACACTGTGGCTGTTAAATTAACACTGGCATTTTTGTTGTGTGGAATGTTTTAATTTAGTAAGGCTGTGGCATATACAGTACAATATTTTTTATAAATACTTTTTATGGCCAGGTCCTCATTGAGCATGAGAGCTCAATCTCAATGGAGTTTTAAATCTGGTTAAAGGAAATTAGATTGTTGAAAAAAATTAAAAAAAAAAGAAGAAAAACAAACAAACATACAAAAAACAAGAGAGGCAAATAACACAAACGGACCACCGTGGAACAAGCCTTAACTGTTACCAAGTGTCCAGTTTCATTGCACTGATCTGGTTCCCAGCTTAAAAATAGCCCCAACAAATCTGACCTCTACCCCGCTGAGCACACCCAAATGGCAAATGTCTACAGACTCTTTAGCAGGAACTGGATGAGTGCGCAGTACATGTGCATTTTTCCCAAATACGTCTGATTTGAAATAATAGTGGAACAAAACAGCTTTAAAAGTTCATGTTCTTGGGAGTCAATCATAATTCCTCATCGAGCCAACAGAAGAGCCTCAAGGGGAAAAGTTGAATTTTTCATCTGAAAAATGAACTTACAAATATGTGGTCTGACGATCAAGGCTCTTTATTGGGAGTTTTTCATGCCAAGAGAAATTGTCCTCCCTATTTATCCTTGTGGTGATAATGAGATATTAAAGTGTCAGGAATGAGAACTCCATCTCTAACATCTACTTTTCTGAAGGAAACTTGCTGAAGTTGCACAAGTTAAATGACAATTCTTTAAGGAGCCTCCATAGACTGGCATAAAGCAGTCATACACCAGCTTCCATCTTTTCTGATACCATTTAGGGAAAGAGTAACAAGACATAATATAAGACATGAGGACGGCACTTATTCCATAAACACCAGAGGGAGGGAGCTGCCTGGACAGTGACATGGTGGGGTCGTTGTGTTACTTCTACTTACAACATTGTCTGTGTACAGGACGAGTTCACTGAGCAAAACTGAAAAGCCTGGTGGAATGTGGACACAAAGAATGATCCGACACAATTTACTGACAATCAAGAAAGGGGAACTGCTTTAGTTCAAAAAAGATTTATAAGAGCTGCAAATGAAGAGAAATGTGACAAAAAAAAAAAAAAAACATGTTGATGCAACTTTGTGGAAAATGAAAAGTAACAACCAAGGTTTTTACAATTCTGGCTAAAGTAAGTGATGAAACTGGATAAATACTGATTTGACCTGATAATGAATAAACTGTCATTTTTCTCTCAGGTCTAAATGTCACCAGAGATCTTTTGCTGGAGTGTTATAAAGTTAATATTTCCAGTCCCTCAAAAGACACAATCATCAGCTTTGACATGAGTAATTTTACAAACATTAACACCACTCTCAATTTTGCATTATGCATCTATTTCTGTGATTATTTGCAAGAGCCGCAGCTAATTGTAGCATTTCCTGCAGAACTATCAAAGTATTTCTGCTGAAATAATGAGAAACTGACAGCAGTGTAAAGTTTTATAAAACAGCATCTGTATGAACCTCTGTAAAACTTGGCAACAATTCACTTGACCCTGTTTTGGACCGTTCACAGCACAGCAAACTATTGTTTATAACTTTCCAATAGGATCTGATATCTAAACATTGGAATTATTATTTGAAGCATAAAAACTGGCCACAGATGAGAAAAAAAAACACAGTAATGTGTATTAAATGACAGACATCACAGACATTATGCATTCATAAGAAACAAATGGTTAACAATGAAAATCGAAAACAAAAAACAAAAAATCTGATTCTTTTAGTTTCCGAGGAGCCTCCTAAAAACAACAAAAAAAAGGCTAATTTCATTGTCGCACAGCATATTAATAAAAGCTTATTAATGACAGGAAAAACAAAGCAGAAACAGCTGAAGCAAGAGTCAGCCTGTTAACTAAATACACTGAAACAAAACAACAACAACAAACTAACAAAACGAAAAGACATCATTAAGCAGTGTTATACAAAACAAAGTAAAAATGTACCTCAACAATTATAAAAATACAATTTTGACAAAAATAAGATTAATTCTTGGTCCATTAAAACTATGTTACTTCTCTTGCTGAGAAATGAAAAAAAAAAAGTAGTTCCAGAAACATAACCTTAGTGGTGAGAAAGCAAAGGAAAGTTAGCTTTCAAACCAAAACACGTGTAAAAAATGAATCCTGTTATGAAAGTTAGAAGGCACATTTTAGGTAATAATCTTGGATGTCCACTAGAGGGTACTAAAGCACAGACTCAGTCTCTTTCAGCCAGGCTTTCTCAGCTCTCAGGCATTCTTCACAATTTCATAGTTTCTTTAGCAAAGAAAGCTTTGAAAGCCTCTGCGCAGTTTTCCCACAGGTCTATGAGCCTCTTTGGAATCGTTGCTCGCTCTGCCACCCACACAGCATTCACGTACAAAGCAGGAAGAACTATGTCAGCAAAGACATGCCTGAATCACTACTGCTGTATGTCCTGCGGCTTTCCCCTTGGCCGCCCAATGAGGATGAAGGTGAATACGAAGATTCGGGTGATGAAGAGGTGCTGTGTAATCTCAAGATGGCCCCAGTGGCATTGCAGTGAGGTCGAGGCCCGGGCTCAGGGGTGTAGGTGAAAGTCTGGCCCGTGGCGTAGATTATTCCATCATTGCGGACCAGCGTGACGGGAACTTGAACCGGCTGTAGCACCCAGCGCCAGTCCTCCCTGAAGGCAGAGATATCCGGCACCACACACAAGATGATCTCTCCACACCTACAGAACCCAACCCATTAGTGTTTGTATCAGTAAATAAAAGCATGGACACACTGATTTGAACCTTTGCAGACAAAGACCCACCGGTACATGGTGTCTGCCTCCACATCTCCAAACCACACTCTGAGGTTCGGGTTGAAATTTTGTCCCGTCAGCTCCAACATGGCTACGTCTCCACCACCGTTTAACTTCATGCAGATGGAAAAATAAGTTTATTAATTGTAAGTTCATTAAAATTTTAAAATCCGTTTGATTTGTGTTTTTGTTGTAAATGAGAAGATTATTGTGGCTGTGTGTACCTGCAGACTGTCCACCACTGGGACAGGGGTGACCGGTGCGGGGACTGGCCCCATGCCCTCATAAAAGGTATACTCTGCCTTGTCAGTGCTTATGATAGTCCATGAAGCTCCATCGTTAATACTCTCCCTGCCTGAGTCTTTGGAGCATGGTGATGACTTCAAGAAAACAATAAACAGAAACATATTGTTATTGTATCCATTGATCTGTATTACTGGATTGGACATCACGTGACTTATCGTGCGCCGCACACGTGCCATTTCTATGCATTGAGTTTTGACTCAGGAACACCCATGAATGGTGGTAAAAATGACATGCAGCAGACAGTCACGCAAGGAGTATCAAAAAGGGATGCAATATTTTGCCATAAATTGTCAAAAAAACACTACAACAACAAGATCACAAGGTCAAAGTTATCACATTTCACAGGTCATTATATTATTTTTACTTAAAGAAATGCCGGAAATGCAGAAAGTAGGTCAGTTATGCAGCTTGATTTTGACAACCTTCAGGTAAACCAACGAAAAGACAAATTAGCTGTTCCAACAAATTATTATATTTTTTTATTAATATTGTTTTTATGTTAGGATAACATTGTGAGAGGTTGTAACTATGAGGAACATTACCTTTACTATCACTACTAGGCTTTACTGTCTAGATATATATTACTGGTACTGACGTTCTGTCCAGTCAGCATTTGGTATATCCTGTAGTTTATGATCATATATATATATATACACACACACAGTATATATACAGTATATATAAATAAGAGTAAAAAAACTCCAACTTTTTTTCTTCCACTGTACATTACGTGTACTAAGTGATGGAGGGTCCGACCGCATTTATTTTACGACCAGCTGTAAGAATTTGTCTTTAGTCACTTCAGCGCGAATCAAGAACCAGGAAACATACATATACATACATATATAAATTATCACTAAATCTCAACACTATGACATCCATGAGTTAGTTTTATGTGGCAGAAAGGGGCTACTACCGTATATGCGTTAGCAAAAACCTATAGTGAAAAGTTCCCAGACTGCTAACAGATTTATCTCTTGGGCAAATACATATTTTTTACAAACCACAACATAGGTAATTTTCTCAGCTGTTTAATCTAAGCCATATTTTATCGAAATAGGATAAGAAATAAGGGAGCTACGAATATTTTTGTGACAGATTGATGTGCATCCCACACTGAAACTGTACCATTTTGCTGACGTATCTCAGTGCATAGTAATGGCTCCTACGGTGGCGCGTCGCTAGCTATAGCGGCTATAGGCAATGTCAATTCCAGTAATATAGATCAAGGATTATATCATACGGTAAGAAGCTAATGAAACATTCCAAGTAGAATTTCAATATATTTATTTAAAGCTGAAATTATTTCATATATTTAATAATTGCAGTAGGCATAGGCTAAGAATTGTACAATTGTGGATGCAAGTAGTAAATCTAAATTTTAAAGCGTATTTAATTAAAAATACAGGCCAATTACAAAAGCCAGCAGATGTTTCTAAATTTAATACAATTAGGAGGCTTAGGTTCCACATGACAAAATAAAATAAAATACATTGTAAAAATAAAATTAAACTACAGAAAAAGAGAAACCTGCACAACAGAATATTTCTGTAATAGCAAAACAGAAACTAAACCACTTAAATTTGTATTGTTGAACAGAAAAATGCCTCTGCCCACCTGGAACTGGATGATCCTCTCCTGTGAAAGGCAAAGATACATGCCGTCTGTATCTTTCAGGTAGAAGGCACACTTGTGAAGCTGTGACACTGGATCATCTGCATCCAGTAATGCAGCTTGTTTGTCCACTTTGCGGATGACCTTAAAAACAATAAAGCAACAAAGATGTCCATCAGAAAGACATAAACACAACCAGAAAACTAGCTTGTGCTTCGATATCTCACATACCAGTCTGGGTAGAGCCATGCCAGTGACGGAACAGACCAATTTCACTGTCTGGCCATAATGAATGTAGCCGTCTCTCACAGCAAACTCCTCCCCCTCAGACTCGTCATCATCCACTGAACAAAATGTATCAATATTAACTAAACAAACACAAAATGTAAGAGGAGAAATGAGGCTGTGGGAAAGTTCTGACTCACAGAGATGGATGTAGAAGGCTCCCCACTGCTGGGAGCTGGCATGAAAGCTGCCCCCCTCCACATGAAGATACCTGGTACTTACAGTCTGGGAACGCAGGCGGTTGAACAAGGCCACCTTAGTACCAGACGCTATGCACACTGGGAGGAAGGAGACAAAAGGTAAAGTGAATCCAGAACACATCTAATTATTTTTTTAAACTAAAGGTTAAAGTGTGATGAGCGACTTACAATCTGCGTTTTTCAGCGACTGTTTCTTCTTGGAGGGCTTGGAGATGACTTTGATCCTCTTGCTGAGGAAAACACCGATGTTGGAGCTGTTTCCGTATAACATCTTCACTGACAGCATGAAGTGTTTCCTTTTGTCTGAGTCACTGATGTACAGAGTCTTAGCTGTGCAGAAGTTCTACCACAGGGGAAAGAGTTTCGAGCGAGGATCAAGTATGTTACTCTTTTATTTTTTCTTCTTACATCTTTTAAAAGAACAAGTTTCTAAACAGGAAATGGTTATAAAGGTGCACACACCTTTCCCTCCAGATAGAGCTGTTGCATCTCTTGATCACTGTTCCCTATCCCAATGAATGGAAAGGGCTGAGCCTCCTGCTCTGTGCAACCATCCTTCTCCATTTTCGCTGTTTTTTGCTGCCATCCGGTCCCCATAAGATATACACATGGCGGCGGGCAGAAAAACCTAATCAGTACAAGCACAAGTACATATTTATACAGAATCTTCAAAATCTTCTAATTTTAAATCTACTTCACACAAACCTTTTTTCGTTGCCGTATGACTTTTGCGCAACTTTAGCATGCAGTATTAGTACAGTTTGATCATGTTTTTCTTTTAAGTAGTTCCGCATAGCCTCCCTGGAATTAAGAGGAGACAAGTATTAACACTTCAAAACAAGTTCACCCACTTTCAGGGTTTCAAGTATCAGGACTAGGATTGTATATTAGCAAAATAATTATCACAATTAATTGTGGCATTTAACCAATAATTTGACGATTGATGGATGACGATTGCATGTAGCCAACATTGTGACCCTGGTCCGAATTTTCTGGGTTTGTTCTTACTCCAGTTTGTGTCGGAGTCTCAAGTGATTAAACAAATCTGTAGAGTTTTAGGGTTAGCATTAGTTGCTCAGCCCACATGTGCTGCTGATAGTAATTAATTGCACATAACACAATTTTGTCCAACCTAGTCAGGACATGAAAAAAGAAATCTGTTTTTTATTTTTATTTTACCATGTTCTGAAATCTATGGAAGAAGATTAGGGACACAGAGCAATTAAAATGATTTTTTTCATAATTCTGACATTTTCTCAAAATTCTGACTTCAAATAATTCCCTTTCTCACACAGACAGAAGAAATTCTGACTTTAATAACATAATTCTCATTCGTTCTAATTAAAAGTACACCACAGCCCTTCAGCAGCTCGTAGAACCTTATTCAACAGCGAAGACTTGTAGTGGTTTTCTGTTTAACTTTATCAGACTGGTTGTGGAGGACTTATGGCCCACTCTTTTTTATTTATTTATTTTTTTTTACAAAATTTCACAGGTATTATTTCACAGTGTGTTGTGTGAGGGATTTCCTGTAAATCTTACCTTGTTAAACGCTGAGGCTTATATTGCTCACTAAACTTCCTGCAAAATAAAAACGTAGTTTAGAGCAGTGTTTCCCAAAGTTGGGGTCGAGACCCAAAGTGGGGTCCCGAAACATCAAGGTGGGGTCCTGAAAAGATTTTCTGAATTAATTACATTTTTGCCTTAGTTGTTACAAAGGAGTGAGGTTAGTGTATTTAAAATGGATAAATGTAGTATAAAAATATTGTTACAATGCCCATGTTTTGTTGACCTGATACAAATCTTTATCATCCAAAAATATTTGGGGGCTCAGGTCTCTGCTACTGTTATTTTCTGGGTCAAAAGTTGAAAAGTTTGGGAACCACTGCACTTTAGTTCCCAAAGTTGGGCCTGGGACCCAAYTATGGGTCATGAAGCACCTTGGATAATCTCCAAAAATCAGTTTAAAGGGTAATAAAATAATTGCTGATGTAATATTTTTTCTATAACTATTACAAAAACACAAAATAAGTACATATAAGTACTTATATTTGTGTACAAGCTGTTTAGATTGTCAAAAAGCCTGTGTTTTTAGGGTTATTAACAAAGTTCGTGTCCTCAGACCAGTAATATTTGGGGTCACCAAGTTTTTGCCATGGATATTTTGTGGGTCAGAAGATAAAAAAGTTTGGGAACCACTGGTTTAGAGCATTTTACACATATTCCTGTTTTTTTCTCCAGAAGAAAAAAATAAATCCAACCTATAGTGACTGTCCTTTTGTAGCAAATCTGACCAGAAATAGAGCCACTAACTGAACAACTTCAATTTTATGCAAATTTAACAATAATGTAGCTTTTAAAGATGCTGCATCTCAGCCAGAACAAGCCATTTTTTAGATAAACTTTATGAACTTCAGCGTCGTAGCTAAAAGTAATTAATTAGTTATGGAGTCAGAAGTTATTTATTTGGAGATATAAGAGTACCACGTAAGTTACACAGCTTCAGTATTTAAGTAGATTAGCATAAGACAGCATATCAAAACGACTAAATGTATTATTATTAATATTATTTTGCAATAATAAGCAACTTGTGGAGCATTTTATTTGAAGAAAAACTGCACACTACGAAATAGTTTTGCCAACATGCCCCCACATTGAGATTCAAGATAGGGCTGCGTCTGATAAACAAGGCATCAGGTCTACTGTAAACGCATTTACTCAGAAAAGCCCACCACCGAGAAATGCTTCACTATATAAAAAACAAAACAAACCCATTTTTTACAACCATATGCTCTGAATTTCTGCACTCACCCCGTTACAACAGGCGCCATCTTCCAAATTACTCCCCCCTTACGGAAAAAAAAAAAAATCCAACAATCGCGAGATCCATCCCCCAAGCTTTTACCAAACAACACGAGTGTGTGTGTGTGTGTGTGAGTGAGGGGAGGCGGGGGGTGTTCTCTGACGGGCAAAAGGGTGAGAAGAAGAGGTGGGGGCGGGGGCGCGACAGAGGGCACACGCCAAAACAACCGTGGGAAAGTTGTAAAGTCTCGCGAGAACAGCAAAACTCTCACAGTAAACATGAATGGAAGTAGCTCGGAGATATCGCGAGACTTGGAGGAATCTTAATTACAGACTTTTTTTTTCTTACACTGTAAACTCGATTCCCACGCCTTATTGAGCAAGAAGGCAGACAACTTTCGAAACACAGCTGTATATACGTGTGTATAAACCGCTGTAACCTTTTTTTTTCTCAGCATGACCTGTTTTCAAGGAAAAAAAATGCAAAACAGAAAATAATAAATTATAACCACTGGCAACAGTATCAATTCTTTGCAATACTTTTATTAAAGAATCTTATTTATATGTGATATATTTATATGTATACACACATTTTTTCCATAGATGATGATCATTTACATGTATAAAAATTTGACAAAAATGCAATTAATTTATAAACTTAATCAATTTGGACAGCAAGTGTCAAAAGGTGTGAGAGCATTTGATTAATTAGATATTTTAAAAACGATTCTCCAAAAATGCATCAGTGTTCATTACAAAAGATACACAAATACATATGCTGTGATAATTGTGAAATAGCATAATCAAAAACTTGACTCTAAAATACAACAACAAACCACTGTATGTGGAAAAATACAGTCAAATCTTTACAAAATCTGGTAAACCTGTCAACCAATAGCTAGCAAACATTTGGCAAGACAAAGGTCAATTATTCTTCACAAAAACAGACATAAATCTATGTAAAGGCACGAGGCAATTAAAAAAAAGCAATTCAGTGACTGAGAAACTGATAAAACAAAAAAAAAAGGAAACATATTTGATGTTTCAGGATTGATCAAAATGTGAAACAAGCAGCTGATGCAGATTTTAGGTCATCTGGAATGTGTCTTTTTTACTACAAAACAACACCAACAAAAAAGAAAACATGTCAACTCTTCATAGGATGATAATAATGATTAAACTTACACAGAGAAAGCGAGGAAGAGATAAAGTGGATGCTTCAAAAGTTGTTTTTTTAGTGGGACATAACTGCCCTTACAATGGCAGCAGATCTTAGCTCAAAAGTTTAAGGAAGTCAAAAGAAACTTCCTAAACAACTGAAACAACTTCCTTTTCTAGTGTTTTATATAACTAAATGACAGAATTAAGTGTTCAGTGTTATGACACTTACCTGAGTCAGTAATTAATGTTTGGCACTTCAATGTGTGTTCACCAAAAGAAAAAGACAAACAAAACAAACAAAAAGAGACAAAAAGTGCTTTTTCAAATGAAAAAAAAAAATCTGTTTTTAGAATATATCGCCAGCAACCCTGAGGTATACAATGTCTGCATTTGCTGTGCATTATTTAGGTCACTCATCTAAATTTTCCAGAATATCTTTTTTCTGTAGAGAATATAGGCGATCAGGACCCAACAGGATGTGGCCACAAGGTTTTGGGTGAGGTGCTCCTTATGCGATTGGCTGTCGGCCATGCGCCAGCGGAAAGGAAAGTACTCCTCGAACACCTCATGGCCCACATACACAAGGATGGAGTTCATACCTGAATATCAGACATACAAAAACTCTAACTCATTTGTCGAACTGACAGAAGGGCTTGTTTCAATCTTACAAAGTGCAAAAAATAATAATAATAACATCCCATAACTGAGTTCTATGTATGTGATAAAAATGCTCACCAGGGTAGTAGAACGGTGCCCCAGACCACCACTTCTTCACATCGACTGTATAGTAGACCAACACCAACAGCACAAAGGCAAAACAAGCCAAGGTTGTTACATAGGACAGTGACCTTAAGATAAGGAAGCAGACAATATTTTTAAATTATTATTTACCAGTAACAAATTATTATTGATTTAATTTAATTACAGCAAATATTTGTCAGGTATTTTACTGTTCATTTCTAACACTGACATTTCTCCAGAGATATTCAACAAATTCTTACTATTATATCTGTTTTTGTAAAGCTATATTTTTTCAAAATGACAAGACCACAACACATACCTTAAAAAAAACACAAAAAACAATATCTGCAGGAAAACAAATGTTAAGCAGGTAACAATTGACAGCTACTTCTATAGTAAAACAACCCAAGTGATAGTTGGCATCCGATCATAAATGTTTCTTCCAAATTGTAATTTAAAGACACGACAATTGTGTGAAAAATGTTGTGCAGATTTAGTTTTCCACTTTATAATTATTTGTCCAGCCTTCATGACTTTGCAATGAATATTTAACTTATTCAGTTTAAAACTAGCATCTCTTGAGAGGGTGCACATCATATCACAAAGTTTTAAACTTAGAACTCAGTGTTGAAAATGTCTCTCAGTTACTTCCACGC